AAACAGCTGCAACAGTCCTGTTTGATTTTGTATTTGGGGATTTTTTGAGCTTAGACACCATTTCATTCATATCAAGATAACTAAACTTTAAAAAAAGCTGTTTGCTATTTCTTGACTTGCAAAGGAGATGAGCCTTAGTAGCCCCCTGGATCTTCAGGAGGATTCTAGACCTCTCAACTCCTTCGAAAATCATGCTGTAATACTACAAAACTTTTAATAATACATGACATTGGTGATCACTCCACTGACTACAAGGGACCATGACAGTTCCTTAGGTGTGTTCAGCTCAGCAGCAGCCTGTCAGAGCACCAGGAGTCTGCTAAATTATTGGAGTCTGAGTAAGATCCATAGAGAGCCCAGGTGTCATTTTATTGCCTGTCTGGATTGCACACAAATATACTTGGGAAGGGGGTTCATCTCTATAAATGGGATGCCCCATGTGTATCTCACACACCCAATCCAGCCTAGTTCAGGGTGTGAGCATGAAAACCAGACCTGTAACATATCCCTGTAAGTCAGGGCAGACCATGTCACAGGGTGAAGCAGAGACAGGGATGGGTCTGGTCCTGCCACCACCACCACCATCACTTCTCTATTGCAGCCATGGCAGGGGGTCTTGCTCTGCAGGTGTTTTTCATGTTAGAAGAAAGCAAAAGGATATTCTGGAAAGAAAAAGTCATTCAGATCCCTCTTTCTCACTGATGAAATAATTTTAGTTACACTAGAGACTAAGAGCAAAGTCAAGCATGAAGCTACAGAAAGAGCCAGAGAAAGTTTCTTATCTCTATTACTGTAGAGTCTTATTTTCTCTGTTGCAAACTGTAACTCCATAAATGGTGGCTCCATGGAAGTGAAGCAGCCCATTTTGAAAGCAGATAGCACAGATAAGGAAAAGTGAGATAGTCCACTGCAATACAGAGATCACCTCAGGCATATTTTTCTTCACTGTAAATGGTTTGTCCTTAAATAAAATGCCTTAATTTCTCTGCTTCCTTATCTGTAAAATGGAGATACTGCCTTCCTGCATGAGAGGAGGTTGCATTAGTCAAGCATTTTAAGATGATTAAATGGCTTGTGCAGTGGAAATGCACATTATTATCATGTTGAGACTCGCAGGCACTGACCTTGACAGAAAGGTGAGCACCAGCCTGCCTGCATGATCAACAGCATTAGGGAAGCAGCACTTCACTTTCATGATGCTCAACTGTCATATAATCATCTCTAATGTGGCTGTTGGAGGCACTTCCCAGCCTCACTGGGAGAACTTGCTTAGGAAGGTCTTTTCCACGGATGCAATTACAAAATGAGAATGGGAGGGAGGGGACGGGATGAATGAAAACAAACATCATTCTAGGAACAACTGTTGGTGGTTAATACTTGACCATTACTTCTTGACAGGATTAATGTCTTTCTAATCACAGTAATCCCTTCTGATAACTTTATCCATAATCCATCTATTTCAAAGCAACATCCAGATGGCTTCTGGTGGAGAGGAAGACAAAATAAACATGCAGAATGGGGTCTTAACAGCAGTTTCTTGTATTTTCCCTTTCTGGGGATATAGGTTTTGATCTTGAGACAGGCCAAAAAATGTGCTTTTAGCAGAGAGCGCGAGAAAAAGCTAGAGAATTGCAGAGAAGATAGAAAGTTCTAATTTTATCTGTAAATGAAATACCTCATTGGTACTCTGATGTTTAACTGTGACAGCCAGAACAAGCCTAGAGGTGCTCAACAGGGTTTAGCTACTTGTTTGCCTGGGACTAATTAGATTTCCAAGATATTGGAAAGAATTCCATTCCTCTTTATGTCAAAAATTACCAATGTTTTAAACAATGTAGTAACTAAATTACATTTTTAATTAGTCCTGGAATTGATCAGGTCTTCCCCTTTCCTTTAGACTTGATAGTTTCTTTTCTATATAAGCTAAGAAATGGTCTCTGAACATGAAATTCCAATTTTGGGGACTTTTTCTTTTTTTGCTAGACTAATTAAATGAGTGAGATATACTGTAATTATTCAGAAAAGCTGCAGATTGTTTTTTATTGCCCTAATCCTGTTTTGTCTATTTGGCAATCATTAAAACATGGAAGCTACACATGAATCATATGTGTGGAAGCCATTTAGCTACACAGTAGGTCAAATGACTTTACTCTGTGAATCAAATATCTGTCCTGTTATTTCAAGCCTAACCAGATTCTGAGGCTTGACAAGAATTAAAGGTAGGCTGGTTTTCATTCCAGTGTGTTTCACAAGAGTCTAGTAGTGGAATCCATAGGAATATCTTTTTTCTGTCTTAGAATAAGCCTGCGAAATTTTTGGGAAGCTTTTATGTAGCCAAGAGTGTCTGATGAAAATTAGACTTAAAGGGAAAACCTGAACAGGATACAGTGATCTTGATTTAAACCATCTGGAAGCTTATTCCTCCTGACTTCCCTATTCCCTAGGAAAAAAGAAAAGTAATTTTTCTTGTCATTCTTTGGCTCCATTGTGTGAATGTTAGAGCTCAGGATCAACAGTGAGAAATTCCTGTGATGTAATTATGTATCACTTGCCTCATACAATAACTGTGATAATCAATATGCTTCCTAATCTTTATGTCTGTTGCCCTGTTCCTTCGAACATCAAACATGTGAAGTCAAATGAAAAAGAGTAAATGAGTGATTATTGTCTCATTCTGGTTATAGGCATTTCTTTCTGAAATGATTCTGAGCAGTTGCCTGAAATGACATGAGCAGTGTTACTGCCCAGCCTTTGGAGAACTGGTTCCAGTGGTCCCTTCCTAAAACTGAGCATTGCAGGCCATGGAAAACCCAGGCCTTTGTCTGACCCCAGCCCTTTGTTCATGCTTCTGTCACACCAGTTACCCCACTGCACCTCCATAGTTAATTACTTTTGAGGACTTTCTCATCACAGCATGGACTGAGCATGACTTTATCTGGTGACAGGATAATCTCATTACAGATGATGATCTTGTTAATGAATATCCCCAAGACAGAGCAATCTCATTATTAGCTCCCTCAGGATTTGTCACCTAAGAGCCAAGGTGTGATTAAATTTTAGCTGCACAGCATCTTCCCAAATCTTGTGGCTGAGGTAGCAACCCTAAAGGCACACGAACCACTGGGCATATTTAATTAAGATTTTTGTCCCTAAGTACATCTGGAAATACTTCTCAGGTGAGAAGTCAAGACAGGGTTCACCCCTCTGTTGTTCTGCAGAACAAACACAACGCAGTGGCAATAGGAACAGTGTGGCTTCACCGAACTGGGAGTGGCTTCACCACAATGGGAGTGGCTTCACCAGACTGGGAGTGGCTTCAGGGCAGTACCAAAAAGGGAAGTGAGCTGTCTGTCCCCTCAGCAGTACCCTCTCCAGGGATCACTCTGCTTGGTGTCCTGTCCACAAGTCACAGATCTGCTGGTCAACACTCAGGCCTTTGTACCGCCGGCATCACTGCCCTGAATAATGGATCTATAGAGAACACTGAAAATTATTACCATGAAAAACAGCCAGCTAGTTGAAAATCAACCTGATTTTAATTTTTATTTCTTTTTTTTTTCCTGGGAAGGAAATCCAGTACAATATAGGTATCTAGTCTGGGCAGCAACGAATTGGCTCAATGGCCTGTGAAATCTCAGCCTGCAAGAACAGATCAGTCCTAGAAATCTAATAACAACACAGAGGCTTTTTAACAGGAAACTGATACATTATTTTGAGATAAATGTATTTCACTCAACTATTTTATAAAAAAAAATGTTTTAGAATATTTACTCTTCTGTATGGACCCATCCAAGGGAAATTCCAAGGAACTAAGTAGCATTCCTACTACTGTATTTTTAGTATGTAGTCCTGTGTTTGTACACAGTGCTTTACAGACACACTGAAATGCACAATTTTAATCAAATATAATGATAAATGAGAGCAAAACAACAAGGTTACCAGAGTGAGAGCTACTGAGATGCTCACTTTCTGAATGATCCATTTTCTGAATGATCCAAACTACAGTGCACCCCTGCTCCTACAGTGTTAACAAAACCCATGCTGGATGAGAGATTGGCAGTGCAGAAAAGCAATACATTTTCTTAATTAATCTAGTGGATAGCAGGAACCTGAACACTAAATCCACCCATTTGATTTCATTAAATCTACTATAAAGGTTAAGCTGCACTTTAGCATTGGCTTCAGACAACCTCCCTCAGCAGAGTGAGGTCAAGGAGATCTCATTCAAGGAGGTGCAGCTTAGTAAATGTTTATGAGAAAAGGCCTGATAAACGGGTCTGTTTTGATGAGAAAACTGGACAGTGGGGCACACCAAATAGTAAATGCAGGATTTTACTTCACCTGCACTTTTCCTGAGATGCATGCTTTGGAGAGTTCACAGAGAATTGTTCCAAGTTAAATCTCAATTTAAAGCTCCCTGGTAAAGCGAAAGTATATAGTGCTTTGAATTGATTTAGAAAGAAAAAAAGTATTCTTTTAGGTAAAGAAAGGACTATGTGACAAAATTGCTCCTTGGTGTTTTTAATTTTGAAGTTGTGGTCCTACCTCACACACGAAGGGGTGACGAGGTTGATCAGATTTCCCTCACAGATCCCTTCAAACCTGAATTATTGTATGATTCTATAAAATTATATGTAGAGTTTCATACCTAGGTTTTTCTGACTGACTGTTGCCACTGCTCCTGTGAACTGAGCCATTACATATGTAGCTCATATAAAACTGTCCCTCGAATTTCAGGGAACAGCCAGCAGGATTTAACCCCCACATGTGCAACCTGAGATTGCAACTTCCTTCAATTAACCCGGAATTCACATGGCAACTGGGAAACACTCCTTTAGATGCAGAGGATACAGTTTAGTGTTCCTGGCAAGCTTCTAAAAGCATTGATGTGTAGGCAATCCTAAGAGAAGCAGGTAGACTGGAATAATTAGGAAATTAGGCTTTCAGCTGCATTAATGTGATGCACAAGATACAATTTGTGTTGTGTTCCCTTTCCACAGCTTGATGTCTGGGCTGGCAGCCCTGGATGCCAAGACTTCCAGTCGATTAGGGATCATAACCGTCACTTACTACCTGTGGACAACGTTTGTGGCTGTGATTGTGGGAATAATTATGGTGTCCATTATCCATCCTGGTGGAGCAGCACAGAAGGAGAGCACTGAGGAGGGCGGGAAGCCCATCATGAGCTCTGCAGATGCTCTGCTGGACTTAATCCGGTAACGACATTCATTCTTTCCGCTTTCTGAACAGAACATTTTGTACATAACTGCGTGAGGATGGCCTGAGAATAGGATCTGAATTTAAGGATGAACATTTTGCTTAAATTTAGAAAACAGTAAATTTCAGAAGATGATTTTCAGGTTATCAGATGTTTATACTGGCTGTTTCTAGTAAAATTTAAATGAATGGCCACCAACTAACAACACTGGAGCAGGTCTTTTGTAGTCCACAGAATTCCATGTAGCCTGTGGACCTCCCCATCAAATCTATTATTAATATCAGGAAAGTAGTTAATGTAAATAAGGCCAGAAGGTTATAATAGACAAAACCTTAAATATAAGGGCTGAAATCCCCATTTTTCAGAAAATAATTCTGAAAAGTGCTTTTACAACTGCTCGTAGCAACTCCCAGATAAAGGACATGATTAGAAAGACCCTGTTGTGTATTACTTGTTTTGCTTTGTGGCTTTTTCTTATTTGTTTTACTTTGGCAAAAGGGATGGTTGTTCTTTTAGAGCGGCATGAGGGCACTGCTGGATTTTGGCAGAATATCCCTCTTTGTCCCAACATTCCAGGTGCTAGTGCAATTAATTTCCTGACTGAACATAGTATTTGCCTCAGATTTATTTTGCTCATGCAGAAAGACCAAGTTTGCCTTTGTTTGGTAGTTCCTCAAGTCAGTGATCTCGTACTACAGCGGGCAAGGGCTTCTAGGCCAAGGGTGTGTCTGAACCACAAAGAATTCTCTTTGGAGCTCAACTTACTGAAATTAAAAATGTTGCACAGTTTGTCTTTCAAAAACCCAAATTCCTGATCCTGACAGCATGTCAGCACACAAATACTTTAATTAGATTTTCTAGGACCTCAAATTAGAAGGAACTGTGAGAAAAGGCTTATAACAATGGCTTTTTTTCTCCTCCAAGTTGCATTTAGCCAGGCCACCTGTATTTTATCAATGTCTAACTGTGAATGGGCAAAATGATTTTGACCATGAAGCAGCAGCTGAGAGCACCCTCTTTTGTAGCTTTCCAAAAAACCATTTTTATCTGCAATGGGAAGATGCCCCTTCATGGCATCTGTATCTCCCCAGTGACTTTGCCATGATGGAAAAGTGCAGTGGAATTCACACATGTCTGTCTGTGACATCATGTTAAGTCACATTATTCTGATTCTGCTCCATACAGGACTGTAATTCCTGCACCAAGAGGAAGGCCCTGAGCAGGTTACTGGAGCTTTGAATCCCTTAGTATGACAGAGTAGCATAAGTAAAAGAGAATCTAAGAAAAATGTAACCTTAATGATTGTCTTCATAGTGGCAGTGTTTGGAGACCATTTCTGGTGTGCTGAGCTAAGTCCTTGGTCCTGGACAAGTAAAGGCACAGTGGGACATATGTGGCAATGTCACATCCAAACTGACCTTACAGCTCTGTCTGGGAAGGGTCTCCCTCACCACAGATTCCCATCCCCTTTCTCACACCAGCCCAGTTGCCTTTTGAGAGTCAGAGTAAGCTCGTCATGGAGATGAGTCAGGCAGAAAGTAATTTGGGTTTTTAAAATCTAAATTAAATTCTATAGTATTGTATTTGTATAAACCAACCAAATCTGTGACTGGAACCCAGGATCTGAGTTATAATCTCATCTCTCACATCTGTCTGGCTCATCCCTGTACATCAGGGGTGTGGTGGTGAGATCTGGGAACACTTTATTCCACTGAGCCTCACTGCAGGTAACACACCATGTCCTGATCTAAACATTTCCAATCATCATCTATAATTTCACTTCCTCCAACATTTACTTGAGCAAATGATAACAGCTTGCATACACATTTCAGGTATTCAAGTGTCCAACCAGGCATGTGCTTTTTAGCCTGCAAAACCTTAAATGCTTCCCTGGTTTGGGCAGGTGTCAACAGTGACAGGTCAACAAGCCACTGTCTTCAGCAAAGGTTAAAAAGATAGAATAAAGCTCACTCTCCTTTTGCCGTGCTCAGCAGCTGTCACAGCTGCAATCCTTCCACCCCCAGTGCACAAACGGATGGTTTTTATTCCTCCACGACAGAAATAACCACATTTACTAAATAAAAAAATAATAACAACACAAATGTGGGGAATGGGCTTTCAGCCTAGGCAAACACTAGGGGTGAAATTCTGGCTCTGCTGAAGTCAGTTGCAAAACTCTTAAATATCACTGTGGAAGTCTGGATTAAATGTAGTGATGTATCTGCTGGTTTGAGCTGGAAAAGCTGATCCTTTAGCTCAATGGTAAATCACTTCCATTCACAGCTGGAGACCGTCTCATTCGGCCCAGATTGGCTTATCTTCTCAATTCAGTAATTTCCTCTCGATTTATCAATTGCACGTGTGCCCAGAAGTTTACACAGGAAACATCTGCTATTCTGCAAATGAAGAACGCTAAGTGTACAAGCGGAGAGATGATATATGGGACATAATTGTGGGGTTTACTTCAAAAGCAGGAATCTTGGCACAGGGATACATTTATTCACCCTCATTGATTTCAGATTTTAAGCCACTTTGAAACGATGAAATGCATTATTATTTCCTGTGATGTTATATATGACATTGTCAGGTCTGGAACTTTTGGCAGGAATGATGTTGCTAGAAATTGAATTTGTTGAATTTTTGAGTGAGGATTTTGCTTTTAGACATGGTTTTAATCAGAAATTAAAGAATCTACTAACTCAGCAATAAATACAACAACAACAACAACAAAAAACTAGTGCAGACCCTCATGGTTATCCTCAGCACCTGCAACACTAATCAAGAACCACGTTGTTATTATTATTATTATGCATTATTTTGCAGATGGTGCTTCCCCTGTATATTTGTCCATTATGTTAAAAAAACCCCAAACCATCAATAAACCCTGTAGTGTATATGACTTGAGGAGGAGATCACAGTGATACTGTGCTGCACAACTCTGAAATGGCTCTAAACCTCACACCAACCAGGACATACAGAATCTCATCAACGTTATGAATTTCATGCTTCAAAAATTGTATCCACAGCAGCACTTGAAAAACTTCCTGTCTAAAGGGAACCCCAGGAGACAGGGGACAAGACATATGGATGTGACCCTGCCCCTACAGAGGCCACTGACTGCAGCACAAGTGTTCTCAACATTCAATTAGTATTGATACCTAAAATCTTTACTACTGCTTTGGCCTTAAATGTCTGAATTCTTGCTCTAATTCGATCCACCTTTAAACCAAACACACGTTCTGCTGTCTGTGGAAGATGGTTCACCTTCGTACCTGTGCAGGAGGTGCTGCTCTGAGGATGCTTCTCTTTAGCTGCCACTTTATTCCTATGTTGAGACAGATGTAAGAAACTTCCCTAACTTTATTCAAGGCTCCAGGTGCGAGCACTGAAAGCCCTATGAAAGTATATTTTCATCCATATTTAAAGCTATAAATCCTCGGGCTAAGGATCATCTTGTTCTCTTTAGGCACCTGGTGCTTTATGAATTTTTATGGATTTATTCTCCTGATGTGCAATACTTCTGTGAGGTAGGAAAGGGCCATTTTCCTTTCCTAGCTAGAGAAAAAAAAACATATGGAAAAGAAATTACCTCACTGAGGATTGTTCAGAGAAATCTGTGGGGCCAGAGGAAATATTCCCAGCTCATTCAGGACCTAGTAGGGGCCTTGTTCTAGGACTGTGGCTTTTGGGGACCTCAATAGCAATAGCAATGAATCAACACACATCTTTACCTTCTTTCTCATGTGTGAATTATTGACATTAACTTTGTACTATGTCCCCAAAAATAGAAGAGTGAAATTTTAGTAGCCTCTTGTGAGTTAAGAAATTAAGAAAGGCAAGATACCTTTTTTTTCTAAAGTCATTCAAACTTTGAGTGTTTTATTCAATAGGACAAAAAGGGATATACTTACAGGAATAGCATTCAATTTAAAATATTAGGTTTGTCTAGTTCTGTAGCATATATTCACCTGACTAGGAAAATAGAAAATGCCTATAATTTGGGGAGAAACATTTGTAAAACTAGATCTATGAGTCAGGGCCACACTGTTTACATTAGCAGTTAATACTTCCATAACATCTGTTACCTTTGATTTAGAAGGGGAAGTCCTGCTGCAACTGAAATCAGGCCACCTGCATTTGTCACCAAGGGAAACAAAATTTGGCTTATGAGATAAAACAAGCAAGCAAACACCATAAACACTCACGTGAGGAAAGAGATCCCAGGAAAACCGGAGTTGCCAGCCCTGCTGTTTTATACAGGGCTGACTGCAATTTTGGGCACCAACAGGTGCAAGGTTAATACACATCTTTAGTTTTTCTCCAGTCTAACAGCATGACCTCCCAAGCTTATTCAGTTCAAAAGCTCCAAATAGAACAATTCAGTGAATTCAGTCAGGATCAAATCCCACCTTAAGCCATGACAAATACATTTGTACATTTCTAAAATTCACCGGAAGGAGAAGTCAGAGCCTTTTATCACTGAATATTCAGGATTGCATCCAATTTAATAGCAGGTACCCAGAAACTCAATCTGGCTTAACCAAGAGAGGTTTTATTTTTATACCATTAAGAGTAACAAGAGGATATAAACACTGTAGAGGATTTATGCTTTCATGGGAATGCTGAGCACTCTTTAAAATCACTTCCTTTCCCTTTTTTCAAGCTAAGGGCTATATTCTATTTTATTGAAATTGTGTTTCTTGAAAACGGGGCAGGAGAAAACCAGTATCTGCTGTAGTTTTGAAAAAGTCCAGGCTGTGCAGTACAAGAAATCACATTTTAAAATGTTTACAACTGAAGACTGCATCGTATGTACATACAATAAGATATTTAAAAGTGCATTAAATAACTTATACTTTTTGAAATAACTATGCTGTACATCAATGTGTCTTTTGCCAAAAGCCACTGTGTGCTATGACAGAAATATTTATCTGTCCCTTATGGCAAACTACCATTTTTTACTCATTTCAGATTGCCAGTTTTCTCTTGTCTCCCCAA